TCGCAAAAAGCATCTTTTAAACCGACCCCTACTCATCTGAAAAAATGACGCCAGAAACCACCACAAATGCGTGGTGCAACGAAAAATAAAAATGTACATGTGAAAACACGGTCATTTTGACTCAGATTTTCTGGACTACATGACCAAACTCCAAGCTATCTTTTCATATGCCCAAGAGCTTCGTCCATTCTTGCTGACAGACGTAAGCGAGTGCCGTGTCGAGGATGACAATCGATATCGGCAATCGGCAATCCCAGCCTTTTTCTATGCTGATGGAACCTGTCAATGCTTGTTGCATTATTGTCATCAAATATTGTTCAGCTTTAGTATGTTTTTGTACGTGAGCTAACAATACACGTTCTGTAGACATGCAGCTCATTTCAATTCGCCATGGACTAAAACAAAGATCCATTTGGACCTCAGGATTGTGTCATGATTCACAGATCAGGTCAGGCTAAATACATACAGGTTGAGACATGCAGGATGCACAATATGATGCTTTCAGAGAGTAGGCATCATATTCTCCATTTTCTGAGGGCGACATTTTGCAGCATGTAGGATATGATAGATGATGGGCCCTGGTTCTTCTGTTGGGTCACCTAAGATGCAAAGTCGGATTGTAGTCATTGTGTGCATCACATGATGCAAACATTGCCCATATCAAAGGTGAGAAATGTAACCCGTAGACCAAATGGTTTGTTAACTTCTGAATGGCAGTTAGTGGTGACCTCAGAAAAAAGTTTATTGATTTGACTGGTATTGTGGGGGAGAGGATGAAAGAAAAGGTTTTGTGAGGATGCATAAAAACAATGAAAAGGTGTCATTTTCCACCCACATGTCAGAGAAATTTAACACTGGAATGGGCCGGGGGGGGGGGGAGGCAAACGCCGCGCCCAGATCAAAGCAGCCAAGTCAACTCCCACTTCCACTTGGCCAAATTTCCATACACATTCACATCTCATGTTGCCATTGAACATGTTTTATATAAAAAAGTGTCACAGTGTCTAGTTCAAGAGAGCAGTCCCCTGTCCAAAGATATCTTATGGTCAACCACAAGGCAATTCACTAAAAGTTTGACGTTCTCACTGAGCTCCACCCCACCCCTCCCCCTTAAGATACCCGGCTGTGCTCCTGTTTTCGATCTCTTGATCACTTCTGACCAACGTTCGCTGTGGGCTCCTCAGCGATATTGTGGATCACGGATGTCTTGAAAGCTCCACCTGGAACTAGAAGACCAGAGCACTGGTTTGCGATGATATTCATAAAACCTTAATTTTCTGTTTCACTTATGAGTTTTGGAGGGCATGAAATGTAATCAGCTGCAAGTCTCCATCAGTTAGTTGTCTCGTATTCCATTTCAAGCTCAAGATTTTTGTATTTTAAGATGATTCCTGACCCCCCCCCCCCTTCCTATCGTTGCTGTATGTTCTATTGTCCAACCGACACATATTAAGCATGGAAACTGAACACATAGGTAGACTGTAACGGCTTTAGTTATTCTGGCAAGCGCATCATTAACTCTGATGATTATGTGAGTGAAATCAATATATCCCATAATTGGTGTGCTGTATCTGGTAGCAGACGACTGACAGTAGAAGCTGCCTGATTTTAAGGTCTCGATGTCGTACAGCCCGCATCAGTTCCATCGACTGGCAGCAACAACAAGGTCATACAAACTGATTTGAACTTAAAATGTTATTGGCGTTTCCAGGAGCGCATTGCTGTGGTTTTTCTGTTTTCACGTTGGCTGATTTTTCCCAAATGCATAATCTTGCCTTCGCCGTTTATTTGTGCTCACAAAGCTTGTAAAAATACAGATAGGACGCCATTTCCTATGCAATGCACTCAGCGCAGATCTTCGGCATATTCAGTAAAGGTTGCCAGTTTGTGTGGTTGCCGTGCCATTAGGAAGGCACGCTTTGTGCACTGACGGTGGACAGCTAGTAGTCCACCTAGATGACCATCCCTAGTTTCATTGTCCTCTCAGGCAGCTTTAAAAAGCGGATCTCCGCGCGCTGCACCATCGTGCGCTTCCCGTCATGCATGGCCAGCACCTCACGGTCCGGCTCCTCTCGGTCCAGCCCAGAGTTTTGGCTGTTGCTTCTGCAGTGGCGAGAGCCTGACGGTCCGGCTCCTGTCGGTCCAGCCCAGAGTTTTGACTGCTGTTTCTGTAGCGGCCAGCGCCTGACGGCCAGCGCCAGTCCGGCTCCTCCCGGTTCAGCACTGAGTTTTGGCTGTTGTTTCTGCAGCGGCGAGAGCCTGGCGTGAGGCGACGTCTGGCGGACGGTCACATGAGTCACATGAGGATCTCTTGTTTCCTGGCATCCGGCACGTCAGGCTTCGTCCTCGCCGTCTCCCGTAGTCGGATAACGGCGGATTTTGTATAGATTATTATTATGCGCAATAAACGCACGATGCCTAAGCCAAAATGCGAAGGCAAAGTATTGGCAGAGTATGTAGCCATGACCATGGATTACTATTGTCGAGGCCCAGAGATACTCATGACCCTTGCATGCTTTTGCACTCTTCTCTACTGTAGCTGTGTGCGATGGTTTTTTTACTGACCCTCGCTCTGATGGGCCCACCGTGCCCATCAGAGCTAGTATACATACAAATGAATGCATGGAATTTTCCCTGTAAACACTGGTTAATGTGTCGTTTAATATCACAGATTTGATTTCTGTGCCTGTGAGCAATTTTTTTTGAGTATGTTGCAGCAGTGGTAGCAAAAAGGGCTATTTGATTTGAGGTACTGTGTTTTGAAGTGTATTACAGCCGGATCGCGTATGAATTGAGAAATAACGCACGATATGTTTGAGGTGCTGCGTGAATTATTACTGCGAGTGAATTTACATGGTACCGTAAGAATCTTTTGATTAGATTCATACTCGCGTGAGTTTTGATACCCAATCGGCCACTGGTCTGAAATTACATAAGTGCTCTCCATTCTGGTTTGGAGCCGGAGTAAAGTCGTCTTGTGTGCTGGCACCTCTATGAATTTGTTGAAGGAAAGCACATAAATAAGCTGAGGTGTGCCATACCTGTTACTTTATGACGACAATCACAACCTTTAATTCAGGAGGTGATGGCCCCCTAGACATGACAGGCCCCTAGACATGACAAAATGGCTTAAGGCTACACCGCAATATAGCCAATCAAATAATATCCAAAATATGCCCAAATCACTCAAAGGCGGTTAAAGGGAGAGAGCTGAAGGAAAGGATATAAGTTACACCCATGGCTGCCGCGTTATCTGCGATGGACAGTGGAAATGTGCTTCTCCGCGCGCTAAGTGACAGTGCAGCGCAAATGACCTCCCGGTTTGTCATGGGTACTACGCAGCGGCGTGTTTAGAACGGTATCAACGAGAGGTGGTACCATAGCTAGTTCTGAGCAAACCGGCCTCGTCTGTTGAACGAGTGGTTTGGCGCTCGGTAGATCAATGAGCACAATGGGCCCGTCCGTGATTATAGGCATCATACTGCTGGATTTCGAAGCGTCGATTGTTAACGCTAT